TTGGGACTTAGAGGCTTTGTAGGGTTTAGGTTTTTAGGGCTTGTGCGCGGCTGATAGACCTTTGAGTCAGCGAGCGAGCGAGCGAGCGAGAGAGAGAGAGAGAGAGAGAGAGAGAGAGAGAGAGAGAGAGAACCCTAAACCCTAAACGCCGAAACCCCGAAACCCCTAAACCCTAGACCCCAACTTTTTGTCATGCCCCCGGCCTCTGGAGCCACGGCGGCCCTCTTCGAACCACCGCTCTCCTGGCGAGGGTTTGCTCCGCTAATATAGATGCCCAAAGGTGCCTGGCCCCGCCCCTGTGGCCTTTTGGGAGCTCCCTCTCTTTTTCTAGGGGGTCAAAAAAAAATGTCTCAAAGCGTATGTTTATACCCTGTCCTGGAAGGAGCACTGGCCGCTTCACCGACCCAAATCTGCACCTTCAAGGCCGCAGGGCGTTCCTACGACACTTTGCAACTGGGCCCATGAGAGGTGCCTGAGCCGCCTGAGCCTTGAAGCACGAAAAAATCCCTTGCAAGCTCGCCAAGCAGGGGACCCGAGAACGAGAAGCCAAGGCCTTGTGTAGGAAGTATATAGATCACCACAAAAAGAGCCCGACTCCCATGCTCTCACGAACCTGCCGAGCCATTGCAACCGCCTTGCCTGCAAGCAAGAACAGTCTGGTCGAGCTGGGAGATTGCTTGGGCAAAGGCTTAGGCAAGCCCGTTTAGGCTAGCTAGCGGCGGCCAGCCCCCTGTGCATATCAAGGATGAGTTTATGACAGTATCCACGATTTCAATCGACCCGCTTTCGTCCTAGCTCGTGGTCGGCCGGCTCGGACTTGCTACTTTGGTGCATCTTGACCGGGAGAGATGCTTCTCGGAGAGCGGAAAATGGGTAATCGACGGGTATGAGTCCAGAGGTTCTTTCCGGCTCATGCCCACGTGCATGGGGCACAACCTGCCCGCTATGCAACTTTCGTTTTGGCTGTCAATCCAAAGCTTGGACCATGCTTCGTGCTTCAGTCGGATATCTGAATCACTTGGAAACCTTGAAGAGCCCGATCAAGCAAGCTTACTCGCAGCGGCCTGTGATCTGCAATCAGCTCAGTGAATTGGATGAATTCAAGCAAAAAACGCCCCCTGCGATGCAGGGCTTGAGGGCAGGGCTTTCGGAAAACCCTCGCGAAACTGCAGTTCAAGTTGATAAAAGCACACAGCCTAGACCTGTCAGGTGGGACTTCATCAACTGTGCTGTCGCAGGTGTTCGTGCCGTGTCTGTTTGGTGTTACCAGTTCGCTCGGCAGGCAGCGCGTGAATCAAACGCTGTCTCTCCCCTGTGCTCGATGAATGCTGGCGACGTGTTCACGGGATGGGGACAAGAGTGGACGCCATCCTCATGGAATGGGACTGAACAGGGTGCGCAAGCGATCGCAAGCGGGGGGATGTCCGGCCTTAGCGACACTCCTGTCCAGCACTGGATGCTTCCAGCCTCAGCTTCTTGCAGCTGATGCTGAGCGGTGCTTCGCAGGCTTTACGGTGGCTCAGGCTCAGGGCCCGTAGGGCCCGGACACCAAGTCGTCAGCAGATGCCCGCTCGAGCGGGTCATGTTCCAAGCACCTGGCAGCAGGGCTTTCCAGGAGCGGCTCGGCCAAACACATTCCTAAGCCATGAGTGGGGTGGCACCCGATATTTACTCCGCTTCCTGACAGTTTCTAAGGGTGGTTCCTGCCGCAAAACCCAGAGCTCAAGAGCTCAAGTTCCGAAAGTAACGCAAGGTCTTATCCTCTCCACCTCGTACACATCTGCACCGCCAGGGCGAGATGTGTGTCACCCCTGGGCCGACGAATTCAGAGAGGACTTATGGGGCTGGTCCCAACGCCGTCCAAAAGGCAAATCTGCAGCCTCGAAGGATTCTATACGGGTCTACACGACTCAGCTTACGGCAGTATGCCGTCAGCAATGCCAAGCTTTCGCACTTCCGTCGCTCCTCGCAGAGTTAATGCCTGACACGTCAGCACCCCGTCCAATAGAGTCGAAGCCCCGAAATAAGTCCCCTGCTCTTCTGCTTCCGACGCCGCCAGGTGGAGATCGAAGTAAGCCTCGGCGGTCGGCGGCGGTGAATCGGAGGCTTCCAAAGCATAAACGATGACTCCCTCGGGCCTCGGCCCCTCGAAAACACCTGAAACCTCAACTTAGCACAGCCCAAACCCACACTCCATCCTCAGCTCCAGCTAAATCCGACCGCAGCATTTCGCAGGAGTAGAATCTGAGCAGAACCCTTCTCTGCCGCACCGACAGTTCCCCCGGCGGCTCCGAATCCGACTCCAAGGCCCAGACTTTGGGAAGCTCAGGCGGATTCTGTGCCAGAGCGGTCTGGATGGCCTACACGTAGGCATCTCGAAAGCACACGCGCTGAGAGGAAGATCGCTCGGCTGAGTCTTCTGGTTCATCGGGGCTCTCGGCAGGCATGTTTTACCTAATTGCTGCGTGACCACCTGCGCAACGGAAGCACTCTTGCTTGCTGACTGCTACCCCACGAGTTCCTGTCAGAGCCCGACGAGGGGAGGGGTAGACATTGCAATCATTGGAAGCGTTGGTTGGCTCCTTTTGCGCTAGCCGGAGGAAAAGCTAGACGAGGCGAAGATTGGACATCTGGTGCATCGGAAAGGTCCCTGACACGAAGGACGAAGCTGGGAGCTGACCTGCAGCCCATATACTCAGCTTCGGCACACCATGGAAAAAGCCCTTCAAGAAGCCAAAACAGTGGGAAACTCCACGCCCCGAGACCGGAAGATCAACAGCGCAATAGCACATGAGAGGGCAACCGGGACCTCCTTCAGCCGGTGGCTCTTGGCGAACTGAAACCAAGGATGGGGCCTCTGGGGGCGCTTTTTGGGGGTTCAGGCCGTTTGAGGGGTTCCGTTGAGGCTTTTCGGCTCCAAGGGCTCTCAGGATTCAACATGGGCCTTTGGAGTTCAAGGTTTTCGGGGGAACGGAAGCCTTATTCTGCTCGCCTCTACACCGGGGATTTTTTGCACCGAAAAAAAGGGTGGGTGTCCTCAGAGCTCCAAAGCCTAAACCAGGCCTGCAAAGCCAAAAAGACTCCTAGGCAAGCTCAAAGCAAACACTTTGAAGATACATGCTTGGTTTTGGTTTATGAAGCAGCGTCCGTTTCTGCACAGCAGAAAGCAATATCACTGGATGAGGGCCCGCCACAGCGGCCACAGCGAGCAACATTGGCGTGGGCCGAGTGGGAACCTGTGCTCACACTCTTCCACGGCGATGATGCGCGCCAGCTGGCCGCCGACGTTACCAAGAACTGCTACTCGACCAGCTTCGTCACAGCATCATCCAGGATTCCAGTATGGGTATGGGGAGCCAGCCACCAATCCACATTGTCGCGCACTGCAACTGCTTCGACTCGACCGCTCATCTGCCGATGGCATTGCAGCACGCCAGCTGAAGCTCAATTGTCCCTGGCCGGTCGCTCGCACGCTGGCAGTTCCATTTGCTCGTCCGGGCAAGGGAGTGGTTTCAAAAACCGCCGGACAGCTCGTGAAGCTGCCATATGTGGGAGATGCGGGAGGCCTACAACCCACAAGAGTCTACCTGGCAACTCACAGTCTAGTGTGGCACACATTGATCAGCCTGATTGGAAATCTAGTGTCTAGATGCACCAACGGTACCCGGACCCGAGGAAGACATCCAATGCATGTTGATAACACGCAATGCAGCAACCTAGGACTACAAACAGCACTGTCTCACAATATGTTGCTACATCCCTTCAACAGCGAACCCTGCACCGCAACCTCCCACCCAAAGCCCCCTCAGTCACCCAGCGCCGGCTTGAAGTTCGCAAACCACACCTGCCAGGTCAGCATGTGTCCCTGACACAAGCCAGCTGACTTTCTGGTGCAGTCGTCACCACTGCCAATATAAACGCTCCAGCGGATGTCACTCATTGTTGAACTTCCCCGAGAGCTTGAAGCCACACTGGTCGCAGCAAACGCTGCGCCGTGCCGAAAGCAGGCTCAGGCTTGCTGGGCTCTCTGAGGCTGCAGCCAGCACCACACAGCCGAAGGACCAAATGTCGCTGGGGGGAGTGGCGTCCTCACCGGGACCTCGGCACGAGCTGGAAAGACAGTCGCCCGGATGACCGAAATCGGACCTTCCACGCTCCAACGTCGCTATCAAGAACAACTAGACACATAGACACACACTCTGGGACCCGTACCTTTGAAACCAAAAGTGGCAGGGGCATGCCTTGGCTCAAGAGGGCTTTTGCAAAAATCTACGGAAGCCGCAAAAACCAAAGAAGTGCATGATTGATCCGCATCTCTCAAAAAATATTGTAAATGATCTTTATTATGTGCATGTATGTGCCTGCGCGTGCGTGTGTATGTGTGTGTGCCTGTGTGCATGCATGCCTATATGTATGCATGTATGCATCTAAGTAAGTATACTTGTATGTATGTTTGGCCGTATGTACGTGCGTACATTGGTATATGTACCTATGGATGTGTTCGTATGATTCCGTATCTATGTATGTACGTATGTATGTATGTATGTATGCATGTATGTATATATGCATGAAGTCAACAGCTTTTCCTCCGAAGCTTACGTCATATGGTACCGGCATCGCCAGGCTGTCCATTGTACTGCCGCATGCTCCACGCGGAGCGCCGCAGTTACCACTGAACATCGGAGTCGGTAGTGCACTGGCTGACGGCTGTTAGGGCCTAGCCAAATGTTGCGTCCATAAGAAACGCCGTGCGGAAAACCGGCATGACATGACTCCCTCGGCGGATCATCCTTTCCGCTGCGTCTGCAAAAAAATGTATATATAGCATATATGTAGGGTAGGTAGGTAGGTAGGCAGGCAGGCAGGTAGGTAGGTAGGTAGGTATGTATGTGTTTATGTATGTACGTATGTTTGTAAGCATGCATGTGTGTATATAAATACATATAAATACATATAAATACATATAAATACATATAAATACATATAAATACATATAATACAAATAAATACATATGTAAATATATGTGTATATATATATACATACATACATACATACTCTATATATATATATATGTGTGTGTGTGTGTATATGCATAGATACATATGTGTATAGCAATAAAATGGATTCGTCTTTATGTGTTTATGTATGTATGTATGTATGTATTTATGTAAGTATGTGCATATGTACGGATGTAGGGATGTAGGAGCGTATGGATGTGTGGATGTATGTTTGTTTGCTTGTATGAATGTACGCGTGTGCATGTGAATGCATATACAATTTACACATACATACGTACATATATACATGCATGTATACACATACATACACACGTCTTTCTGTGTTTATGTGCTTGTGTATGTATGGACCTGTATGGACGTATAACGTATATACGAACGATTGAGTGGATTCATGAATGAATCGATACATGAAACAATAAATCAATGAATCATGCAGCAAAGGTTGCATCAATGAACCAATCAATGAAGCAACGAATCAATGAATGAATCAATGCAAGTGCGCATGTATGTATGTATGTATG